CCAGTTTCTGGTGGTGGCTGGCAGTCCTTGGCATTCCTTGGCTTGTGGAAACACCACACTCCTTCCCTGCCTGCCTTCACTGGTTGCACGTGTCTTTGCTTTCATATTCTCTTCTCGTGAGTACCTAGCCATATGATTTGGGCCCACCCTATCCAGTATGACCTCATTTTAGCAAATTACATCTGCAAAGGATCTATTTCCAAATAAGGCCACATTAACAGCTTCCATTTGTGAATTTAGGGGGACACTATAAAACCCAGCACAAATGGCAAATTCATGGTCACACATGTGGTCTTCTTTGGCTTCTTCTTCCTGAATCATCCATTCCTAAGCTCGAAGCTCTGAGCAACTCTGGGTGGGAAACAAACTCCTTGGTTGTTTCTCTGAAGCTACTCAGTTTCCATATCAGACTTCGACTGATGTCATCCCATCTTCACGGTGCAGACCTGAAGCCAGACACCTGGCTGTTTTTGTTTGGTTTTGACTAGTATCTTGTTTTATTCTGAATATGCAGAAAAGTTGTAACAATAGTATAAGAATTCCCAAATAAGCCTGGAGGCTTGTCACTCAGTTGTAGAACATGTGCTTAGCATGTGCATGGCCCTGGATTTTACCACCCACCCCTAAAAATCCTCATATACCTTCAGATCAGTTCTCCATATTAACCTTTTAACCCTGTTTGATTTTTCATTCTCCTACTCCTTCTTTATTTTCATATACATATATATATGAAACCCTGATCGTATCAACATACGGTTCTCACTGTTGTCCTGGTTGGGCTCAATCTATTCTGCCTCAGCCTCTTGAATAGCTGGGAGTACAGGTGCCATTATGTCCAGGAGTGAGCACATTAGCTTTGATCGCTAGATTAGGATCCTATCTGCCAAATTTCTCCACTCCATAGCTACTACTTTTCCCTTTATAATGAATAAGTATCTTTTATGGGCCTGGAGGTGTAGTTCCGGGGGCAGAATACTTGCCTAACATGCAAGGCTATGGATTTGAAACCTGGCATGTAAAAAGTATCTTTTGCAGAGTTATTTGGAAACTACATTGATACTGAAGTATCAAGTTTTAACCCATTAATAATAACACCCATTGGTAGTTCTTGCTTGAAACAGTTTAATGATTATGGCTGCTGTCAAGGGATACTTTCTCCAGCATTCCTTTTGCTTTTCTCTGTAAGGACAAGCTGTATCCCTTTCCAAATGCTCACCCTGAAGCTGCTGATAGCAGAGCTAGCAGCTCTCTCCAGATCCATAGGTGTCCTCTCTCTTTACTTTTGCTGCAGCTCACAGCTTTGTCTTCCTTGCCACACTTCTGTCCTTCCTTTTCCCTGACACCATGCTCTCATGGTGCTCCTATTTTATTGGCCTGTCTCATTTCTATTTAAATTCTTATTTTATTTTTTGGGAATAGTGCTTTGCGATGTTGCCAGGCTGTCCCTGAACCCTGGGCTCACACACTCCTCCTGCCTTAGCCACCTGAGTAGCTGGGACTGCAGGCAGATGACATCACACCTGGTGTCTGCTCAGCTTCTTTGATAAGGGCCTTCCCATCGCTCACCTCCAAATTCAGCAGCTCTCCTGAGCGTGGTCTGAGACATGCTTGTTTCTTGTTAATTTTTTTTTTTTTTGGTACCGGGGATTGAACTAGGGTGCTTGTGCTTGCAAGGCAGGTGGCGGAACCACTGAGTTAAGTCCTCAGCCCCATGCTGGTTTCTTCTTAAATACTTTCTTCTCTCATCGTCATTAGATGGCTGTGTCCATTACATCTCATCCAATCCTGTGTATTCAGGCAAATGCTCTGCCACTGCACTACATTCAATGTATTTAAAATCTGGTGAATCTTAAAATTGTATTTCTATCCCCTATCTCTCCCCTGAAGGCCTGCTGCTTTTACAGTATGACTCCTTGGATTCTAAGAGGTAATTTCAGAAACATAACATGACCACAAAAGAACTCTGAATTTTCTAACCTTTTATCTCCCAGACTTCCTGGTCTCAGTTAAGGCATCAGCGTTTACCTGGTCACTCACATCTCAACTTTGTAAGTTATTCTTGATCACTCACCTTACTCTTATTCATTTGCAAGTGTTGTGTGGCTTCTGCTCCCAAGTGTATCTGCAGTCCACACAAGTCCCCCAATTTACACTCCAGTTTTGGCCACCATGCTTAGAGGATATTGGGATAGATTCCTTGTCTCTTATTTCTTGTTTCTCCTCCAACAAAAAAAGCAACCAGAACAGCCAGAGTTATCTTAAAAGAATTGTTTCACTCTCTTTCTTAAAACACATAAAACAACTGCCATGCCATCATTCCACTCCCTTGCTTGCACTTAAAACTTTAATACTACAGTCTTCAAAGCCATATATGATTTGTCCCTGTGTCCCCAAGTTGTCTTTTATCATTATACTCTTTGCCCTGTAAGCCAGCAATTCTTGCCTCTGCTTTCTTTTTCACTGTTAGAGTGAATCCTCCACAGAGCCATGGATTTTTATTTTTTCGTTATCTGTAGTATTAACTGATGAATACTGATGCACAGTAAATGCATGAACACCTTCTCAACGGAAGAATGAATATATGCATGCCATTTTTCTAAAAAAAATTAATGTTATGGATTTTACACTTGGCTATTCTAGAACGTTCTCCAAGATCTTAACATAGCAAAACATGCTCCCCTCACCCTATCCCCCCAATCATTCAAGTCTCAGCTCATGTTAGTACCTTAGAGAAGACGTTTCTGACACCCTATTTGAAATGTCAGCATTCCCACTTTGCTTTCATCACAGTACTCATCAGCATCCGGAATTATTTATAATTTTTTTTCTATTACTTCCCTGGAATGGAAGCTCCACAACAGCAGGTATTTCTCATTGTTTAGAACAGTAACTTGTACATGTCCATTAAGCACTTCCTAACCACAAGGAATGAATTTTATTGTATGTAAATTTAAAAATATTTAAGCCACATAAAAAACAGATTCCTGAGATTTACTCCAGACCACCTGAATAAAAAAATTTTGTGGGATGATGTCTTCTTGTAATATTTGTATTTTAGAACATTTCTTTAAGTCCACGAGAGTAACTCGGACTCTCCAGTCCAGACAGTTCATGTTAAAGCCTGGAGAGGGACATTGTCAGTTCTAATGAGCCCATCCACCATCTTGGAGAGATTAGGTTTCATTTTACTCAGGTCACAGAGGACAGGTCAGTGGGCCAGCAGTCCCCCAGGACACTCAGAAGGTCACAGAGGTCAGCAGATTACAGAGGACACATCCGCAAGCCACAAGCTCACCATTAATCTACCTCCTTAAAAATCTGGCCAAAAAACGCTATAAGAAAAGCCTCTTAGCCTATAAGAGACACCTTCTCTGTTGTGCTCCCATAGAGAGGTCCCTCTCAGGTTTAGCAACAAACCTGCTTGGACTGTTGAATTCTTGTCCCTCTTTCCCACTCAGCTCTTATCTCACTGCAAGTCTCCTTTTGTTTTTTGTGTCTCTTCTGGTTAGCCAGCCCGAAGAGACTCCCAATCCATCACAGAGGATGTAATAAGGTTAAATCTCCAAAGGAGGTATTCTCAATAGATGCCCAGGGATACAAGGTATGGCAGCTTTTCCAAGACCACAGAAGGGTAATCATTCCAGTGATTCTCTTAACCAATATAATCTTTTCTGGGCAAATGACTTCTGTGTCCATACAATCAAAGAAGAGTGAAGAGCACTGCTGTATAAGTGTTAAGCTCTGCCTCACTTGGCATCTTTTCATCTTCTTTTCCTTTTTTTTTTTGGTACTGGGGATCGAACTCAGGTCCTTGCACTTGCGAGGCAGGCGGCAGAACCACTGAGCTAAATCCCTGGCCCTCTTCTTTTCAATTAAATGCAGCAAGGCTTATTACTGATGGGCTTTATTCTAAGTCCTGGGCTGCCTGCACAGGACATTATGGAAGAACAAGACATGGCCTATTCATCAAGTTGTTTTATGAGGCAGTCATGTGTTTTTTTGAATTTAAAAAAACCAGAACGCTCTCTTCTATACCGTTAAGTGAATTTTGCGGCCATTTTCCTCTAGGGGCTTTTTATTCTCAGATCTTTTGCTTAGTGGTCCTTTCTTCCCTTTTTCTTGGTTAGCCAATAATTTAGCCATTTTGTAGGTTTTATCATCTGTTTAAGTGCTAAGAAAAGGACTTTATTCAGTATTTTAAAGATCTCATTTAATCTTCAAAACACTGCAAGGTAGATACCGTGGATGAGAAAACTATTTCCTGAAGGTACAAAGGTCCAAGGTCTCTGACATCTAACCGCCCATCGATAGTGTGTAGTTGGATCTAGGTGTCACATTCCAATGTTCATCCTGTGCACTGGGCTGCCCTTTCCAGTGTTAAGGGAGCACGGTCCTGCGGAAGTCTGAGGTTAAGAAATGACTGAGTTAAGTCATTTGATTGTAATACTTTTTTTTTTTTGAGATACGGTCTATGTAGCTCAGGCTGGCCTCAAACTCACGGGCGATCCGCTTGCCTCAACCTTCCGAGTGCTGGGATCATAGATTATAATACTTAATGTTTCCTTCCAGAAAGGCAAAGGAGAAAGGAAAGATATAGTGAAGGCGCCATATGGTTTGGACCGATCACAGGGTCCAAGGGTCAGCAATGTGCATGAGACAAGAGCCTGTGGCCGAGCCTGAGGGCCTGGTCGCGCGGCGCTGATGTGGGGTTTTCGAGCTCGCCCGCAGGCTGGCCGCTTCGGATGAGAACCTGTGCTGGGGTGAGCGAGCCTTGAGACCGCGCTGCCGCGCTCCGCAGGACCCTGGGCCCTGGCGTAGGGAAGCGAACAGGGAATTTGGGACACCCGGTCTGCAGCGGACTTGCCCTGCGGCCACGCCAGACCTCCGAGGGACTTGACCCTGAATGCTAAGAGTCGGGCCTTCTGATTGGCTCAGAGTACAAACGCAGGCGAACGCAGCCAGAGACCCGCTCTTCGATTGGATTTTACATGAACTGCAGAGCACGAAATAAAGAGGCCTTCAGTCATTGGGCCATTGTGCGAATCTCCTTTTGGCTTCTCCGCCGCCTGAATGAGCGTCTCAGGATCTTCGTCATGACTCTTAAATCTGGGCCTGTCAGTTCGGCCCAGCGTTTCTCGTCTCTAGGCACGGCAGGGGATTTACAGAGTTTAACCAATCATATAACGTCGACCTCAGGTTGCCAGGCAGATTATGCTAATAAGACCCCGCCTTCTATGCTGCTCCCACTCTGCGGCGGGAAGAACCACCTGGAGGTGGCGGGGGGGTTTGATTTCCATCACCCCTAGGGAGAGAGGACCAGGGACCCACTGATCTTCCAGCTCCCCTCACCCAACATCGTGTAAGTACCTAAAGGAGTAAGGGAACCGGATAAGCTAGGGTCCAGAGTACCCCATCGACTGGGAGGGTGTTTCGTCTTTGCTTAGTCCCACCCAAAATGGCGCCCAGCTCTTTCCGCGTCTCAGAGCCCGGCCGGGGCCAACCGACCGCGGACCCGGCTGGGGGGGGTGGAATTGATGGTAGTGGTGGTGGGGGGGAGAAATCCCGGCGGCACCGCCCGATGGTACAGTCCAGCCGGGCTGGGACAAGGCACCTTCCTCGGGTGGGGGGTCAAACCATCTGCACCGTCCTAGGGGAAAGGGGCACAAGCCCCTCTGGGAGGTCTTGCGGGCTCTGCGCTCCGCGACGGCGCTGGCGCCTCCTCGCCCTGCCCTCCCCGCGCGCGCTTCCCTCCGCGACCCCCGACCGGCTCGCCCACTCCGCCGGCCACGAGCACCTCTCCTCCCCTGCCCGCGTTGGTTGGGCCGGGACGGCAGTTGGCGGCGGCCGGGCGGCGGCGGCGGGCGCGGTGGCCGCGGTGGCCGCGGTGGCCGGGATCCGCGGGCCAGCGCGGGGCAGCGGGCGGCTGGCGCGCACCGCGCGGGTCTCTCGCATGGTGCGCGCAGCTTTGTCTTGATGAAGCCGCGCAGACAGCCGGCCCGGCCTTTATTTACAAGTCGGCCTCGCGGGGACTGGAGGCCCCGCCTGCAGGGTGCGGGGCGGCCCGTGTGGGTCTGTCTGGTGCTCGCCGCGTCGGTCTGGGTGGGCAGGCCGCAGGCCGAGTTCGGGCTCCGGCCTCGCCGGGCCCAGGGTGTAGAGCAGCGGCCGAGAGGCCAGCTGTTTGGGAGCTGGTTGGTGGTTTATAGTACTCCAGCCGGCCGTCTGCTTTTAATAATCATTTTTGAAAAGACAGTATCCACGTACTAGATACTGTAGTAAGTAAAATGGAATAGTCACCGTCTCCCCTGCAGGCACACGAACCAGCGCTGTTGCTTTTTGGGTGCCTGTTCCTTTAGCTTCACTATGTCGATTATTGGCTTTCGACCCGTTTTCAGTCAATATATGTGTGTACTTGAGAGGTGGTTTGTTCTCCCATGGAGGATTAGGGTGGGGAGACTGGCCCAGCTGAATCCCATGCCCTAACTAGGTTCTCTCACCTGTTCAAGTCTTGCCTGCTCTATAAACTCGGGAGCATTGCTCAAGATTGGTGGCCTCTTTTCCCGACCTGTTCCCTTCTTTGTTAGCAGTCCACCACTGCAGTGAGCGCTTTGAAGGCTGGAGGGTGTGCATTGTTACATTGTATTCTACTCCACGGCCTGCTAGGTGGTAGCTTTTGCATTGAATACTCATTTGTTGCTCTAGAAGTGAAAAAAGCTGAAAGAAAATTAGGATTGTTTAGGGACAAAGCCATGTATAAACTGTTATTCAGGCTAGTGATTTAAAAGATGACTTTACTAGGTTTTACAAATAAATTGAGGTGAAACTGACATAAAACGAACCGTTTTGTATGGATTTCGCCAGAGCTGGGGGTGGACCGACTTTGCGCATTCAGCAACATTTAATGAGTTTACATTTTGTGTTTTGGATCAAGAGTTTTTTTCACTTTGTGACTTCTCTTATTCATTTATTCCGTGAGGACCCACTTTGGTATGTTATTTTCCAGAGTGCTAAATTGCTATTTTGCCAAAGAACCCATGTGTACTTTTAAAAAATGTTTTATAACGTACTTCCCCATATAGTACTGTGTGTATTGTATATCAAACATCTGAAATGTGGGTGTGTGATATTAGGTCCTTCTCTTCAAGGGCCTTGAATGATTTTTATTTAGGGTTATGGTATGTTAATCCAATATAATCCCCAACTTGGCACTGCCTCAATTTCCACTTGCCTGAGGTTTTTTTTTTTCCTTCTAGTTTTAATAATTGTGATCTCTGAAGAAAACATAGAAAATATAGTCAGTATAAAAAGTAAAAAGCCCAACCGTGTAATTTACCAGAGATAATCCTTGCTGACATTTTGGTGTTGCAAATATTTGTGAGTGCATAAAATATTTGTACAAAATTGGCATCGTGTGGTTTAGTAAGTTTTGTTTTGATGTGGAGAGCTGTGTAAAGACTAGGCTGAGGATTTGCTTTTTTCTGTAGTTTCTTTAAAGGGTGCATCATGAAGTCCTCTGAACTAAAGTATAATATTTTGATTCATTTTACTTTTTAAAAGCATACCCTAATTGACAGGGATAGGTTTTTGGGTAACAAGCAGAATTGATCAAAGAGCTAAAAAATTACTGGGCCGAGCTGGAGGTTGTGGCCACACTCAGAAGACTGAGGCAAGAGGATGTGGTGAGTTCAGTGCCAGCCTGGACATAGTGAGACTGTCTGAAAAAACCAAAAACAAACAAAACATAACACACACGAACAAAAAAAGACCTTGAGCTGTGGTTTTCTCAATTAGTTTATATTTTGAGCACTGACAAATGTATGGTAACTGCATAATTTCATCTGGTAAAAATGATTTGCTAAAAACAACCTAGTAAATGTCCTGTCCTTGTAGAGTTTGTTTAGCTAGAGTTTGTTTTTAAACTTGAATGCTGATGTACTTTGACCTATTGCACTACAGTAATTTTCTTTCTCCCAGTGAGTGTAGACACACCCAGTCCAGCCATTTGTTTTTCACAAGCAGAATTTATTATTTAAATTTATCACAGGTACTGAGCCAAGTGTGGTCTCAGCTACTTGGGAGGCTGAGGTGGGAGGATCACTTGAGCCCATCAGTTCAAGACTACTCAGGGCAACATAGTGAGATGCCCATCTCACAAACGAAACCAAACCCAAAAAACCCCAAAAGAACCCAAACAAAAGCAAAGTCCCTAATTTTTTATAGGTACTTTAACAGATTAGCAGAGAAGAATCTGGTGAGTTCAGAGAAAGGGAATGTTGGGGCTGGAGTGTAGCTCAGTGGGGCAGCACTTGCTTAGCATGTGACCAAATCCCCAGGCCCCCCCCCCCCCAAATTGGCAGTCGCCCAATGTTGCAGATTGGTCCTTCTGTGGTTATCCTTTCCTAAGAGACCAGGTAGGGCAGGAGGGTCAATGGGAGCTTTTCATTGTTTCGTTCTAAGCTAAACACATTTTCCCCCACTCTGGTATTAAACTGTTTACATGGTTTGGTTGACTCACTAGAGTGACAGAAGGGGATCTGGTCTCTGTATTTTATTTTATTTTTTTGGTACCAGGAGTCGAACTCGGGTACTTGTGCTTGCGCAGCAGGCGGCAAAACCACTGACCTAAATCCCCAGCCCTACTTCTTTTCTTTTTTTTTTGCTTAACTTTTTAAGTGTCTTTTCTAAGGCACTTGTTTACATTTAGTTCTTAGCATGTGACGTTAACACAACAGTGTTCAGTTTTCCAAGTGAGAAGGAGACAGAGGTGTAGTGAATTGGACAAGAGTATGGAGCTGGCCAATAGGAACAAGGGGGGCTGGATTCCTAGTACCAGGCAATGGTGCGTATTTTAATGAGGCTTCAGTCTCCTTGTCATCACTTACTCATCTCTTCCTTTGTTCTCTTGCAAGTTGGTGAATTGAAAATTATCCAGGATTTTTTTGTTGTGTATGTGTGTGTGGTGCTGGGAGTTGAACCCTAGGGCCACATGCATACTTGTCAAGTGCTTCACCACAGAGCCAAAAGACAGCCCTGTGATTTTTTTTTTTTTTTTTGTACCAGGGTTTGAACTCTGGACCTTGCGCTGGCGAGGGAGGTGGCAGCACCACTGAGCTAAATCCCCGGCTCCAACCCGTGAATTTTGAAAACAGTTTTTTTTTCTTTCTTTTCTGTGGTGCTAGGGTTTGAGCCCAGGCCCTTGAACATGCTTGGGAAGTGCTATAGCCCTATCCCTCCAGCCTCTGGACTTTAAGTGGTACTTGATAAACATAAGGTCCTGCGAATGGAAGTGTTTGGGATACCTGTTTATGTGATGTCCAAGTTCTCTCACATACGTTAAACTGTTGAACTTCGAAACAATTACTATAGAACTAAAGTGAAATTATATAGCAGTCATTGCACTTTGATGAACTTTATTTAAAATTTTTGCTAAATTGCCCAGACTTCCTTACAACTCACAACATCCTTCTGCCTCAGCCTTCCTTGTAGCTGGGATTACAAGCTGTGCTTGGCTTATTTGAAAACTTAATTTTTTCCAGTATCAGAATCGAACTCAGCACCTTGTGCTTGCCAGGCAGGTGCTGTGCCACTGAGCTACATTCCCAACCCTGAAAACTTTTTTTTTTTTTTTAAAGGGTCTTGTTATATAGTATCGGCTTGCCTGGAATTTGCTGTGTATTCCAGGCTGGCCTTGAATTTATGGGCCTCCTGCCTCAGCCTCTTGAATACTAGGATTATAGGAATGCACCACCATTCATTTAAAAAATTTAAGAAAGTTGGCTGGGCACAGGTGGCATACATTTGTAATTTCATCACTCTGGGAGGCTTTGAAGGTTAAGCCCAGCCTGGATAATTTAGCAAGACTCAGCCTGCAAAAAAAACAATATATGTATAAATACCGAATAGTTTCTCTAGTGTGAGAAACTCAAAGTGTAAATAAGGACGAAAAGGTATAATAGATAATGTGAAATAGGAAGAAAAGGGGCAAAGGGGAAGGGGAAGTGGGAGGGGTAGGGGAAAGGAAAGAAGGGAATGGAATTAATATGAGAAAATGAAAAAGAGGAAACAAAGTCTTTGTAAATAGGGAGGGATGGAGGGGTTCAAGGGAGGGGAGGGGAAGGGGGAAAAATAAGAACCAAGAGAGATTATGTAAAGGTGCAAATTTCCAATGATGAATGTCATTATATTGTATACCTAAAATGTACCAGTAAAATATTTTAAAAAAACAAACTTTTTAAAAGAAAGTTTATATTCATGTTTAGATATACTTAAGCCAAGTTCTAGGAATGTTAGTCAACTTTCCTTTACTGTTATAAATACTTGAGATAGCTTATAAAGAGGAAAGTTTTGTTTTGGCTCACAGCT